AAGGTGCGAATAGTAAAACTTTTTTAAATAACTTTAACTTTATTTAAAATTATACTTTTATAAAAATATATAATGGAATAATTAATATATTTATTAATATAAATATTATTAAAATTATCCCTTATTTAAATATAATAAATAATATTATAATAATACTTAAACGCACTTTTTTAAGATATTTACATAATTATATTAATGATAATATAATTTAGATTTTTTAAGAAAAAGCTTTTTTTATTTAAATAATCGTAACATTAATTAAAAAAGACAAATATAACATTTATTATATCGGTTTGTGATTTAATGCCGATATAACTATTTTTAATAAACTAATATATATTTTTATTACTTAATAAACCACTCCTTAAAACGTTTAAGCTATGTTTAAAATTAGGGAAATCTTTATAACTCTTTTTCTTAAAATTTAACGATTTAATTTATTATTTATTAAGAATCTTACTATTCGCACCTTATAAAATTGCTATTAAGGTTTATTCGTATCTTAGTATATTTGCGTAAGTTTTTTTATATTAATGTTATATTAATGTATATTAATATGTATTAATTTAGAAAAGCGGTAAGATTAACACGCTTTATTTTTATTATATATTTAATTAATTAATTTATTTATAAAGTTTTATTTAATATATTGCAATAGTTATTATAATAGTAATTAATATTTATTTATTTAATTTATTTTTTTTGTCCTTTTATATAATTTTTTATAATTTATTTATTATACGAAATTTTATATTGTTATTTTTTTTTTCTATTTATATATTCGTTTAATTAGAATGGTAGGTTTTGGCTTATTTTTTAAGTTAGGAAGGCGTTTTTATTAGCGGCCTTAAATTGGCTGTAATATTATTGTTATAGTTATAAAAGGTAGTGTTAAGGTAGTAGTATTTGTGGAGTTAAGTTATTAAAGATTATTATTGTGTTTTTATTACGAAAGTTAGCGTTATATATTATTATTTATAAAGTGATTATTTCGAGTTTAATTTAATTGTTTAGGCTATAATTTTTATATAATTTATAACGTTTGCATATTTTACGATAGTTATATTAGTGTAGGAGTGTTTTTGTTAAACAGGTTGTAATTTTAGGATTTATTACGTATATTAATGATTAAATAAAGGTTTAAAATATATAGGTGAGGATATTTTTTTATTAGATTTTGTTTTAGTTATTAGTATCGGTTAATATCTGTTTTTTTAAGGGTTTTTTAGGCTATTAGTTTAAAGATTATATTGTAAGTATATAAAATGTCGTATTGTTTTTTTATATTATCGATATAAAATTTTAGATCTTTGTATTTAATTAAGGAATTAAGTGTTTTCCGGTGTTATGTAGTAAGAAGGTTAATATAATAATAAGAAATTTAACGGGGTAGTTTTTTAAGTTATTTAATTTTTATATATTCTTAATAAAGGCGTTTTATTTATATATTTTATGTTATGTTAAATTTGTATTATTATTTTATAATTATTTCTTTAATAGCCGATTATATTTTTAAAAAGTTATTACGATTATAAATAAGGTAAGTCTTTAGGTTTTAATAGGTTATTTTAATAAGAGATATGGTTTTTTAGCCGTAATTTATATTAATAGATGTATAATAGGTTGTTTATTTATGTTTAACTTTTATATATTCTTTATTAATATATGTAAGAATTTTTTTTAATTATAAAATTTATTTTACAAACGTTTTTATATAATTTTAAACTGATCTTTAGTTTAAATAAATATTATATGTTTCTATAAGTTAAATAAATTTATGCGAGAATAAGGAATGTCGGTTAATAATCGATTAAGAATTTTTTAAAGGGTTTTTATAAGGGCATTTAGTTGTTAAATGTTGTTTTTATTATTATCTGATATGTCATTTAAGTCGGTTAATTTGGGCAGAAACTTTTAATGCTTCTTAACGTTTAGGACGATATTTTGATTGATATGAAAGATATATAGTTATAATTTGACAGAAAATATATGGATTTGAAATATACTTTATTTGGCATTATCGTAATTAGTAATAATCATTTTTGGTAAGGGAATTTTAAGTTATATACAAATTTATTTAATATTAGCAATAATTTAATTAAACCTTTTAAAGCGTTTATTATCTATGAAGCCATATATAATATTTGTAATTGTTTTAATTAAGGTAACCATCATATTTATGAAAAGAGGTATTTTAAACTTATTTGTTTTATATATAATATTAAAAAAAAATATTAAAAGATATTTTTACTATATGTCGATATAAGATGGTTTAAATTATAAGTAATTAATTATACGATTTATTTTAACGGTATTTTTATATATAAAATATGTAATTTTTTTTTGTTTTAATTAATGGATTAATGTTTATATAGAAATGTAATTGTTTAATTGTTATAAGTATAGTTGTTAATGGTAATTATGGATGTTTTTATTTATAAATTATGCGTTAAGGAATTGTTTTAAAAGGGTAGTAGCGATATTATGTAAACGTATTTTGGAAGAGGATAAGTTTTTTACGATTTTTTTTATTTCGGTAGTTAAGTTATAAAGATAAGTAAAAGCAGATAAGTTTTTAATAAGGTTATAGTTGGTATGTTAGTTATGGTCTTAAGATATTTTAAATAATTAAAGTTAATTATTTAATTTTAAAGAGATAACATTAATTTCTTACGTATAATTAATTTTATAGGTAGTCGATTTACGGATGTTATTATTTTTTAAAAGCTGGATTGTATTTTTAAAATATATTAGTTTAATAAAAATAGGTTTTTTATTATAATAATGTTTTAAGCGTTTTTTAACGATAATAAATTTAACTGATTTAACGAAAGTAAAGAGATTAGTTATAAGTTTTTTATAAGATTTATATAAAAGTTTAAAAATAAACTAGTAATTTAAAGGTAAATTTAATAAAGGCGGGAGGCCGGAGATATTTATTATGTTAAGCGTTGAAATGATATATAAAAAGAGAAAGTTAAATAAGCAAGAATTAATTATAATCTATTAAAGTAATTTATAATAGGGATAATTTTATTGATTTTAAATTTATCGTTTTTTAATATTAATATAAATTAATGTAGACTAATGCAAGCTAATGCAGGCTAATGTGGACTAATGTGCATTAATGGATAAAAAAACTTACGCAAATATACTAGGGTATGAATAAGCTCCGATAGTAATTTTATAAGGTGCAAATAATAAAACTCTTTATTAAAATTAAATAAAAAATCTTTATATATAAAAGAAACTTAAATATTAAATTTATTAAAAAGACTAAAAAACTAATTAAACGTTATAATATCTAAGATTAACCTAGTTACATTAATATAAAATTTCTCCGGCCTTCCTTCAAAAAAAAATATCCAAAAGTGATTCGAAGGCCCGTCCCGGAGCTTGCGGAGGGCCACGAGCCGATAAATCACTTTTGGATATTTTTTTTTGAAGGAAGGCCGGAGAAATTTTAATTATAATAAACATTTCTTACTCTTATTATTAAATTTTAATTATATAGTTAAAATATACATATAAATAAATAACATTAAAAAATAAGTTATTATAATTAAATACACTAATAATCCTTATCTTATTAAGATTATTATTAAATTAAAAACTTAAAAACAAACATAACATTCGACCCATAATTTTATATATATATTTAAAAATAATAGTTTTTTTTAAATAAAAAAACAAAACAGCCATTAAAAACTTTATATTTTTAAAAACTAAATATAAATACTTTTTAAAACAATTTATAATAAAAAACATTATTTTAAATTATATTATATAACACACAACTTAAATAACTTTAACGTTTAACACTTAATAAAAAAACTATACTAATATTTTACTTATTATTTATATTATTAATTTAACTAAATAAATCATTAAAAAGCTTTAAAAAAATTAAAACTAATTATAAAACTTAACATTTTATTTTATACGATTTATATAAACTTTATAATTAACTTATTTAAAATTGACGTTAAAAAAAACCATATAACATATATTAAATTATAATTATTATAATTCCCTTATAATAATTATTAATAAATTTAATAAAAAAACCTTACTAATTCTTAAATACTTAATATATATTGTTAAAAATTAAATTAAAACGTTTTATAAGATGTTTATTGTAATAAATTAAAACTTTCCGGCAAAAATAATTATAAATAAAAACTAGAAATTTATTAATAAAATATAGTAAACATTTTAATATTATAACGGTATTAAAACCGCTATAGTAATAAGTTATTATATTTAAATAAATAATATAATTAAAAAACATAATTAAAACGTTAAAATCGTAATAAAATTTTAATACGTCATTTTTTTAACGTTTTAAAAATAAAATGTTAAATATCTTTTAATATAATTTAAATAACTTTTATTATTTAATATTTAAAAAATCACTAAATAAAATTATATTAAGTTTTAAACCTTATATCCCATTATTTATTTTAAAAATAAATATTAACGTAATAAACTTTAAAATTTAAAAAAATATATATTAATAAAAAACTTAAGCCGTTATTAATTATGCCGTAATTAATATTAAAATTTGTTACGATATTAAACGAAATCTTTAATAATTTAATATCGAAAAAAAAATTTCTTTAAACTTTATAAAAATTATTATTTATTTAAAAAATTAAAATAAAAATGGTTTAAATAACGTGTAAATCTTTTTATAATTGTAAAAGAGCAACACTAAATCCGCAGTAGGAGTACATGCATTTCGTCCGCAGTACTACCTGGTCTCCCATACAAATTTAGGTGCGCGCACAAGTACCTCTGCCACAGTCAATTCAACGCCACTTGAAACCCACTCCCATCCATCCAAACAATTTTCTACAAACCCCCAAAAACATTCATCTTTGTCGCCTCGACGAGACGGATTGATTGATATATGTTTCAGATCTCAGAAAATTCAATTGATCGAGGTATTGATTGATCTTTGATTGATCTCATCGGGCCCTACTGTATGGTGTCCTGAATCAAGGTGGTAACGTAGGTGGCCCATGCGCGGTACCGGTCGCAACGTCGAACTTGAATAACTTGGGCAGTTCGGGCCGTACAAACGTGCAACCGGGATCAATCTGCTCCCTGAATTGAGACCTTCAAATTGACGTCTTCAATTGAAGATTTGAAGATGGTTTGGATGGGTCGCAATTGACTGAGAGCTTGGTGTGTACTGGAGCCACCGGAGCTGCGCTACTAGCGCCATACTGCGGACAAAAAGCTAAGTACTCCTACTGCGGATTTAGTGTTGCTCTTGTAAAAAAGGTTAAAAATTTAATTTATAAATTAAATTTTCCACGGTATTAATAAATTTACTGCATTATTTTAATCGCTTACTTTATTTCTGCACTTATTAGTATAAATCTTTAATTAAAACGTTAGTTAAAGCTAGGCTAAGTTTTTATTAACGAAAATAATAATAATTTAATTTTATATAAGATTAAAAAATTTAAAAAATGTTAAATTAATTGCGTTAAAAAGTATCTTATATTAGAATATTTAATATTTTAAAAAAACTACGATTTAAAATTTAATAAATAATATTTAAAATTACTTTTAATATAAAATGTTGTATAATTTATTAGAAAATTTGATAAAAATTATTAATTTATCTTTAATAAGTTAAAATTAGTTAAAAAATTAAACCTAATCGATAAATTAACCTTTATATATAATATTAATATCCTTATTATAGTTTTTTTAAATAGTTAATAAATTAATTAAAAGATAATTTACGTCGTTAAAAGAAGGTAGAAAAAGCTAAAAAAAACTAAACAAATTAGATAAATGCCTGGATTAATAGTTTTAATTAAATCGTAATGATTCTTAATTATAGGCACATATATAAAAAAAAAAAAAAAAGCGCGAAAATAATAATAAAGCCATTTATCACATACCTTTAAACATTTTTTCCGCTAGAAATAATTAAATATATAATTAAATCATTAAAATCTTTAAATCTTAACTAACTTTTTTAATATAAACTTCTTTAATTTAATCTTATAATACTTAACTAAAATTAACACTTATTAAATTTAATATATATTAACGTAATATTAACTTATTTTACGATATATATTATAATTATTCCTTTCATTTAATTAAAATTAATATTATCCTCATTAATTTTACTTAATTATTTTAAAATAACATATTTATTTAATTTTAAACTTATCTCACATTAAATAAATAAACCTTTTATTATAATAATTTTAAATTTACCTTAATTAAAATTATTTAAACTTATAAATTTAATTTTATTAACACCTTTAAAAAATATAAATAATAATATATAATAAAATAAAACTTATTTAAAATATAAATATAATGTTTTAAACCACGAAGCTTATAAAATACATTAAAAATTACAAGCTTATTATTATTAATTAATAAACCGTTTAAATATATAATTCTTTAATAATTAACCTTTATAAAATTATTAATAAGTTAAAAAATAAAATTATTTTAAATAATTATTTATAACATATTTAAAAAAAATAACGTTTTTATTAAAATAAATATTAGTTTTAATATAAGTATCGTAAAATTAAATTAAAAAAGCTTATATTAAAAAGGTTAGCTAAGATTTAAAAACCTTAATTATTTACTTATATATTTAGTTACTTTTAATAAAAGGAGCGTTTAAGGGTATGTGATAAGTGGCTTTATCATTATCCCCGCGTCTTTTTTTTTTTTTTTTTTTTTTTATATATACCCGCAACCAAAAATTATCACGATTTAATTAAAACTATCGATCCAGGCATTTATTTAATTTGTTTAGCCTTTTTTAGCCTCCCCCACCCTTTTTTAATAATATGGATTATTTTTTAATTAGCTTATTAATTGTTTGAAAAGATTATAATAAAGATATCGATATTATGTGTAAGGGTTAGTTTATTAGTTAAGTTTGATTTTTTAATTAACTTTAGTTTATTAAGGATAAGTTGGTGATTTATAAGGCCTTAAGACCTCATAAGGCCCTTTGGGCCTCGTAGGCCTCACAAGCCCTAATGTCTTAGATGTCACGTGATCCCCCTTTGTAGGATATAAGATTACTAGGCGTTAGTAAACGAGAATAACTTTTCTTTTACTTTTTAAGCTTTAAACTAAATACACTCCTATTAACATATTAACTTTACCTGGTCCCACTTTTATAAAATAATTATTTAAAATAACTTTATCTTTTAATTTATTAATAAATTTATAAAGGTTAATTATTAAAAAATTATATATTTAAACAGCTTATTAATCAATAATAATAAGCTTATAATTTTTAATATATTTTATAAATTTTATAATTTAAGATATTATATCCATATTTTAGATAAGTTTTATTTTATTATATATTATTATTTATATCTTTTTAAAAACGTCGATAAAATTAAATTTATAAACTTAAATAATTTTAATTAAAATAAATTTAAAATTATTATAATAAAAGGTTTGCTTATTTAACATAAGATAAATTTAAAATTAAATAAATGCGTTATTTTAAAATAATTAAATAAAATTAATAAAGATAATATTAGCTTTAATTAAATAAAAAAAATAATTATAATATATATTATAAAATAAATTAATATTATTAGAATAGATAAGGTGGTTTTGTGATTACGATAGGTTATAAATAAAAGATTAAAATTATAAATATAATTAAAATTATTAAATAAGATAAAAAAGATTAAAGATTTTTTTTTAATTGAAATAAGTTATAAAGATAGGTATGGGTTAAGTGGGTTATATAATTATTCTCTATAATTCTTATATTAGCTATTCTTTCTTTTTTTGTGTCTATTGTTTTTGTTTATTATTTTAATCTATTACTTTATACATTCTCATTTTTATCCTAATATATTAACCTCTTTTAACCTATCTTTATAATCGTAACATAAGGCAGTTAATATCGATAAATATTTTTAATGTTTTATTAACCTTTATTTTAATTATAATATTAGCCAAGTTATCCTTTCTTTAAATTTATTAAATCTTTATAATTTTCTAGCGTTTATATGATTAGCGTAATAATATAATATTAATTATTAATTTTTTTTTAATAATATTTAATTTAATTAAATATTTATATAAAGAGAAAAAGTTAATATAAATTACGACTGAAACTATTAACGGAATGTTTTATTAGTTTAAAATTATTATAAAAATTTTATTAAAAATAATTCTTATATTAATATTATATATTATTACGTATATCTCGTTAGCAAGAACATTTCTGGTAATTTTTTAATATTTTGTCGAGTTTTAATATATTAAATTGCCTTTTATCTTAAAAAATTTGTCGTTTATTGCATTATTGTTATTCATTAATTTATTTTTAAAAGCGATTATATAATTTATTTACAAATTTAAATCTTTATTATTTGCAAAAGATTTGTTTATAAATAAAAATAATTTGGTATTTAAAAGGTTAAAGGAAACATATTAAAATTTTTTGTTTAAATTTTTATGTCGGTCGATTAAAACCAGGTCCTCCAGGTCCAGCACTGGTTACTGTACCTCTCTCTCTCTCTCCAATCAATCTGCAAATGGTTGTTGTTATTGTTGTTGTGTTATGTAAGAAGGTGGGAGGAGTGGCTAGCTGATGTAATGTACATATAATGTCTGTGCTGGCGCACAGACCACGTATCAGGTCATGTGATCACAACCATTCCAACATTTTAAGTTATTATTAAAGTTTGTTATTTAGTTAGGCAATTTTATCTTTTTTAAATTTTTTATATTATGTTATTTTAAATATATTATAAATTGTTTTTGGTTAGTATATAGTAGCAATATAAACGTTATAGGCTTTTTATTAGATATATTATTAGGTAATATTATTAATAAATTTTTTAATAAAAGTAATTTTCTTTTTTTATTCTTTTTAACATAAATATAATGATCCGTTTATATTTTTAAATAAAATATAACCGTTAAAAATTAATGGTTTTTTATTGATAAGATAAGTTTTAAGTTTGGTTAAAAGTTTGGTTTTTTTTAGTTTTTTGTCTTTAAAGCGGTTAAATTATTTATTAAAAATATTAAAAGTGTTATCGATTTATATATCGATTAAATTAAAACGTTTATTTAATTTTATGACAAATAAATAGGAATTATAGGTTAAGGTTTTTATATTAAGTTGTTTTTAATAATATTTAAAATAAATAATTTATTAATATGTTCCAGCTTTAGCAATCTTATAAATCGATTTAAGAATTATTATAATAATATTCTTTAAATATTTTAAAATAAATTTAATAGGTAATTATATTAAAAGCTTATAATTAAAGGGCATATTAAATTGTATATATGTTTGCATAATATTATATAATTAGATAATTATATTTTCTTATAATAACATAAAAATAAAAGTTATAATAATTTATTAGTTTATTTATTAAATTATTAATAATTAAATTAATATTATTTGTTTTCTTATGTTATTATATTTTTAAATAATAAATTTCGATTTCTTATATAGATTATCTATTATTTTACTTTTGATTTCTTAAATAATTTATAAATTAAATATTTAGATGTTATTATATTTAATATAATTATATTTTTTAAATAAAAATACGTCTTATTTAATTAAGTTTTTAATTTTTTAAACATTAAAAGTTTTAAATGGTTATTTTAGCGTGATAATTTTGCCTTTATTATAAAATTATATCAATAGTTATTTATCGATGATTTTTTTTTAGGTTATATTGGTAATATTTTTTTTTGGTTTGTTTTTATTATTATAGAAATATCCTTATCTTTTTTTAAGTATTTATAATTCTGGATTTTATTCTAATATTTATTTTAGAATATATTTATTTAAATCGTTTTTATCTTTTGGTTTATTTTTGGATTTGGATTTAATTGGGATGTATATAATTTTATTACGATGATAGGGTTTTACAATAGTTGTTTTAAATTTAATAAATTTATTATTAATTTAGACAGTGCATGTTTTGCCGTCTTATATTACTAATTTATAAGGTCCTTTTTAGTTTTTGTTTTCTTAAAACATTTGAATTTTTGATTATAAAGGGAGGTTAAGGATGTTTAACATATTTAAGTCGTTTTATATATTAAGCGTCTCGCTTATTTATTATTATATTTTTAATTTTTAGACTTTTATTATGGTTTTTTTAATAGCGATAATTTGTTAGTATAGCGATAATATAGGTAATAAGCTTTTAATTAATCGTAGATATATCTTAA